CTTGTCCCCCGGCCCCCACAGGCGCCTGGTGGACATGGGCTATGTGGAGCATGTGTCTGAGGATGAGGGGGAGGGGCAGGAGGCGACGTCATCCTACCACGCGCTGCGCGCCGCTCCCGACGGCGGCGCCGGCGCCGACGAGCGCGCGGGCGGGCGTGAGGGGGAGGGCAGCGGCGGCGCGGGCATCACTCTGGGCGGCATCATGCAGGCCGCCACCGTAGGCGACTCTGGCGGGCAGGCGGCGCCCGCCCAGGGAGCGGCGGCGGCGGCGGCGGGTGTCACAGCAGCTGGCGCTGCGGGCGGCCGGGTGGGGGGCCTGGGTCAGGATGAGGAGCAGGCACAGGCGCAGCAGGCGCAGCAGGCGCAGGCGCCGCACCTCCAGTCGCGGGCGCTGCAGGTGGACCAGGTGGACCGGGAGAACCCGCTGCGGCCGCGGTACACGGGTGAGGGGCCTGGGGCGGTACGGTGCTGGTGCTGTGGCGTGTGGTGCTGTGCTGTGCTGTGGCATGTGGTGCTGTGGCCTGGTGCTGTGCTGTGCTGTGCTGTGGTGTGCTGTGCTGGGGCGCGTCCTGCCCCCACCTCCCACCGCGCCACCCCGCCGCAGACTTCTCGGGCAATGTGCTGGAGGGTGTGGAGCCTTACCTCCTGCACGCCTCCCCGCCTGGCTACTCCTACCCCGCCGCCCGCCGCTCGCCCTCCCCGCCGCCCCCAGCCGCGCCCGGCCGGCGCGCCACCAGCGACGCCTCGCGGCCCGCCGCTCGGCGCAACCCGATGGCGCGGCAGCAGCGGCCGCCCGGCGGCAGGTGGCTGCAGCAGCCTGGCGAGCTGCCGGGGCCGCCCAGCGGGCAGCCGAGGCAGGCGGCGCCTGCGGGGGCGCCCCAGCCGGCGCCGCCGCCGGCCACCGCGGCGCCGCCGGCCAAGCCTGTGCCTCGCCTGATGCGGGCGCCGCCGCAGCCGCTGCCCACGCGCCAGGGCCCGCTGCCGTGGCAGGCGCCCGCGGGTGCGGGGCCGGAGGGGCAGCCACCCTCGGCGGCGGCGCCAGGTGCGGCGCAGGGCGGCGGGCCGGCCAAGGGCCTGCCCGCCACGCCCGCTTCGGTGCGGCACAAGGCGCAGCGCCGCGCCAAGCCTGCAGGAGCCGCCAAGCCGGCGGCGGCGAAGGCGGAGGCGGCGGGGGCGGGGCCGCCCTCGGGCGCCAGCCACGTGCTGCAGCTGGCCGCCAGGCTGTCGCTAGCTGACCTGCGGCGGCTGTGCGACACCAAGGGCCTGCCCTCGTACGGCACCAAGGCGCAGCTGGCCAGCAGGCTGGTGGCACAGCAGAAGGCGGAGGCGTGGGAGCAGCGGGAGCAGCAATGATGGTGCCAGCTGCCCAGCTGCCGGCTGGGTAGAGCTGTCAACCAACGTACGTTATCAACGAGCAAATGCACCCGAACCATCCACCAGAACTGAACCCTTTCATTCCCGAGTTCATTCCCAGTTTGGTTGCTAGGCCTGTGTGACACATGTGCAGGCCAGGCCGCAGCAAAGAGTGGAGGGTGTGGCGCCCATGTGGCGAGAGCGTGGCTTGACCGGGTTTGACCGCTCGCCCTGGGCAATCCAGCGCTACAAAACCTTTCAGTGCGCCGCACAGACTTGCCTGCAGCGGTCAGAAGTCGTCTGGCAGTGCTCAACACCTCGCCATCATGGCTGCCATGCACCAGGATGAACTGCCGGACGAGGTGGAGTGCGGTGAGGGGCGCCTTTCAAGCGCGATGCGGTGCATGGATCGCCAAGGAAGCGAGCAGGCCGTCCTGCCAGCAGCCGGCGTGGCTCATCGACTCCCGCTCTCTGGCTCTGTTGTGCCTTGCAGCCAACTGCGGCACCACCCAGAACCTGCTCAAGTGCAGCAGGTGCCACACCGCCTGGTTCTGCGGCGTCAAGTGCCAGAAGGTGAGGGCCCGCCGCCCGCCGCCCGCCGCCCGCCTCGCGCAGCCCCTTTCCTTTGCTCCATGCCACATCACCCCTCCTCCTGCCGGCACTCCCTCTCCTGCAGGCCTACTGGCCCTTCCACCGCACGCAGTGCAAGCGCAACGAGTTTGCGGATGCCATCGAGGAGTCGGAGCCCAAGTTTGCGCGCTGGATGCGCAAGCACGGCAAGCAGGCGGTGCTCAAGGATGACGAAGTGGACCGGCTGGAGCGCGCGGGCGCTGCCGCCAGCGGCCCTAACCGGGAGGTGGGCAAGGATGGAGCCAGCCCACACACACATGCCTTCCTGCATCCTGCCTGCTGCCCCGCACCACCACACTTCACACCTGCCCCGCCCTGCCGCTGCCGTGCCTGCCTTGTCCTGTGTGTGCAGGACGTGATGGATAGCATGTATGGCCGAGCAGAGCCCAAGCCCGCGGCCCCCAGGTACAGCGGCGAGGAGCTGGCGGCGATGCGGCGGGAGGCAGAGGCGGCCAAGGCGGCGGCCCGCCTGGCGCTGCAGTGCGGCGGCAGCGCCGCCTACGCCGCCGTCGAGCTGCCGCCGCAGCTGAGCCTGGACTGCCAGCGGTACAAGTGGCGGCAGAGCCAGAGCCATGTGGAGGTGTTTGTGCCTCTGCCCGAGGGCCTGCCGGCGGGGCGGGTGGCGGTGCAGCTCAGCACCTCTGCCATCAGCGTGTGCGTGGACGAGGCGCCGGTGCTGGCGGGACGGCTGTACCGCGAGATCAAGGCCGAGGAAAGCACCTGGTACGTCCAGGACGGCGTGCTGGAGGTGGTGATGCTCAAGCGCTGCCGCCGGGGCAACTACGGGGCAGGCAAGACCAATGCAGGTGGGTCCAGGGGCGACTGCGTGGGGTGGGAGGCGGTGGCGTCCTGGTGGAAGTGAAGAGTGTGTGTCTAATGCTGATTGGCATCCTCATCCCGTGCTGCCCCCCCCTTTGCTGACGCCTTGTCCTTGTGTGCGCTCCCACCATCCACCTGCAGACACTTTCTGGAGGTCTGTGGTGCAGGGCGCGGTGCCGCACGAGACGCTGCCGCTGGAGCAGCCTCCCATCGCGTACTACAGCGCCCCCTGCGAGGACCTGGAGAGGCAGCCGCCCCCGCGCCTCACCAGCGGGCGCGCCAAGCAGCGGGCAGAGGCGGCCTCTGCAGCTGTGCCGCCAGCGCTGACTGCGGCCTGACGGAAGCCTTATTGTACAAGAACAGCGCGTGCGGTTCCACTATGCATAAGTGTGGCTGCATTGGTCGAGCATGTACAGCGCATGCTGGTGTTGTACACAGGGAGGGCACGCTGCAGCGCACAGCAAGGAAACAAAAGAGATGGGAGAGGAAACAGGCGCTAGAGGTGGATGGCGATCTTGAAGCCTGCAGGACAGGGGAGGAGGGGCCAGAAGGTTGCACACCAGCAGGGCCGCAGCTGAGCACAGCACCAGGGCAAGCAGGAGCTGCTGGGGATGGCAAGGCAATTCGAGCCCCACCCTAGCTGGCGCAGCCCGGCCAGGCTCACCCACAATCACCACCACCAGCAGCACCACGAGCGTGAGGAAGAGCAGCAGCTGCGTCTTGCAGCTGCCGCCGCGGCGCATGACCAGCTTGAGGCGGCGCTGCGCCGCGGCCAGCCGGCTGCGCGTGCCGTCCACCTCCTCATCCAGATCATCCAGCAGCCGGTTGTGCAGGTCAGCTTCCTCATTGATCTGCGGGCAGCGATGCGCCAGGGGCGCACATGCACGTCAGCACACGCAGCGAGCGCCACGCGAGGCCGGCCCGCGGGCGTGTAGGCCGGGGTGGCAGCCCCTGGCTGCTGCTGACTGTGTGGTGGGCACCGGGCCAGTGCCCGCAGCGCCGGCTGCAGCCAGCCGCACCTGCAGCGCGATGTGCTTGGTGCCCACCACCGTGCGCTCCAGGCTCTCCAGGTCCCGGTCCTGCTGCTGCATCACCTGCTGCTGCATCTGCAGCAGGCCCTGGCTGCTCCGCTCCGCGGTGGCATCCGTCTCCCTGCCCGCCGTCGCCATGCTGCCGCTGCTGCCGCTGCCCGGCCCGCCGCCGAGCAGCGTGTCGCGCGCCGCCCGCGGCTGCTCCCGCTTGAGCGACGCCAGCATCTGCTCCCGCCGCATGCGCAGTGAGGCCACCAGGTCTCTCCGCCGGTTCCTCTCATTCTCCGTCCTGCAAACGCGCGGCAGCCAGGAGCGGCAGCAGTTGGGTGTGTGCATGAAGCGAGGGGCTTGAGGACAGAGCCGCAAGGAGGGCAGGTACTGTCAGGGCCCGCCAACGCCAGCCGCGACTCACAGGCCGGCATACTGCGGCGCCTCTAGCGAGCTGCGCAGGGCATCCAGCAGGCTGCCGAGCGTGCCGAGCTTGCGTCGGGATGTGGCGGTGATGCGGCTGGCCTCGGGGCCGCCCTCGGGGTACTTGAGGTTGCGCTCCTGTATCGGGGAGGCAGCGGGCCAAGAGCGGTGGCGGGGTGGCGACGGGAAGGGGCGGTGGCGAGCGGACAGGCCGTGCGCCGGCGGCGCGCTGTGCACACCCCTCCTGCGACTGAGGGCGCACCTGGATGAGCTGCAGGGTCTCGTTGGCGGTCTGCTTGGCCGCCTCGTAGTCAGAAACCCACTGATCCGCGCCCTCCATGTCTTGTTGGAAGGGCGCTGACGGCAGCCTGGAACGCGCTCACAAGGCCGCAGTGGATCAGCACGCGGCGAGGCGGCGGCTCGCCACTTTAGGCCACAGCAGGGTGAGCATGGCCAGGAAATGCCGGCACTGGCCCTTATTCTGATTTGCCTATGCTTCTCGCAGTGCGTTCGATCGCAGAGAGCTACCACAGGACTGCCCAGCGCCGATCGTCCCTTTGCAAGCTCCGCAAAGTCGCAGCAATGGCGGCGCCAGGAAGAGGGGCTGGTCGCGGCCGCTCCAGTGTGTCCGCACTGGACGGCGAGGCGCCAGAAAGCACGGGTGAGACTGCCATCACCCATGCATATGCAGCTCAGCAGATGCCCAACCGGCTGCTCACTCAGCGCTTCTTCCTCCGTTCCTGACCCCATGCAGACTTCGCCAACTACTTCTGCACGTGAGGAGATGCGAGCAGCGCAGCTGTGAACCCTTGTGCTCGCCGCCGCCGCCGCCGCCGCCGCCCCGCTCGCTGCCGCCCTTGCACCAAACCGCGGGCACACAACTGCTGCTGGCCTCCAGCAGGCCTGCTTCGGGTGTCTGCATGTATGTCAGCAGGCCTGCTACCACCTTGCCAGCACATGACCAGCACCACCCAGCCTGCCGCCCTCGCCGGCAACCAAACCCCACCGCCTGCCTGCACCCGCCTGGCCACCCGCTGCCGCTTCCCCGCTGCGCGCCCTGCCGCAGCTACTCGTACCTGTACCACCAGAAGGACATGATGGAGGACCACAAGCGCACGGGGGCCTACTACAACGCCTGCATGCAGAACCGCGCCCAGTTTGCGGGCAAGGTGGTACTGGATGTGGGCACCGGGTCGGGCATCCTGGCCATCTTTGCGGCGCGCGCAGGTGGGGCGGGGCGGCTGGCTGGGTGGCTAAGTGGGCGCCCGTGGGCAGGGAGTGCTGGAGGCAGGCAGGAGGCAGGCCGCGGCAGCGGTGGCAGGAACTGTCGCGGGGCGGCATGCTTGTGTTTGCTCGCCATCCGTCGCCCTCTCTCTCCCTCTCGACGGCCACACACACACAGCCACCGCCGGCACCACCACACACACACACACACGCACACCTGCCCTCCCCGCAGGCGCCAAGAAGGTGTATGCGGTTGAGGCCACCGACATGGCCAAGTTTGCCAAGCGGCTGGTGGCGGCGCAGGGGCTGGAGGCGACGGTGGAGGTGATCCAGGGCGTGATTGAGTCGGTGGAGATACCGGAGAAGGTGGACATCATCATCTCGGAGTGGATGGTGAGGCGGGGGG